ATAATAATAATAATAATAATTATTATTATTATTATTATTATTATTATTATTATTATTATTATTATTATTTTATACAGAATATGTAAACTTTCACTGTAAAAAAAATGTATGGAGTACATTTTACGAGAAAATATTCACTCTTTCTACTTCAAAATTTCATTTTAATTGAATGTTACTTGCCATTTCTGTGTAATTATTTGAATTTACTAGCAATTTTTGAGCGAAAATTGTTTCTACACCACTTTTTCAGTGTAGGTCTGAAATAATGTTTTTAGAAATATCTGAGATGTAACAAATAAAACATGGAGACCATCATAACAAGGACATTTTGCCCTACACATTTTGAATTTTAAAGGCATTAATCTTGATTTTTGCCCTGATCCTGTTTGAAATGCATTATAAGACCATTCATTAGATCATTCATTAGTTGTGATCTCAGAGCTCTTGCTGGTGTTGATGCTGGACTCAATAGACTTGTGTGAGCTACAGTGCATGCTAATAGCAGGTTTTCTTAGGCTCGCTGGTGTGCATTAGTGATGCCACTGCTTTTGTTGTCCTGTAGGACATTAAAAGCTTAGCCTACAGAAAACAAACCAGCTTTATAGAGAGGCTTTCAATGCAATAAGTACAAAAAAAGGTTGAACAAACATCATGTTGGAAATGACTTTCACTAGTGCCAGTCTATGCATGCCGACAAATTCATTTTGTTGAGAGTGAGCTTACAGCGTGATCATTTCACTGTTTGAACAAGAGTTGTAATATTTACAGTGTGTGTCTGAGGTTTGCCCATAATTGACATAAATAAATGGCATTCTGCATTGGTGTCCCGCAGCTCTTGATGAACTCTGTGTGCCAACTTTCACATTGCTTGCGCAAGAAGTCTACTTTAATAAATGACATCCATTAGCATTACAAAGCGCAGTGCTAAAATGATGGCTGAGCTGGTGGGCTGGACATCTACGAGGGGGTCTGCAGTGCTCACCTCCTTCCCAGAGCCAGAGACACACACTGGGCTCAAGGAGGAGGATGGTCTGGGTGAGATGGATATTGGTATGGATGTTACACTTGCAAGCTGAAGGATGAAGACCGTGCAAGTGCATATAGAGAAGATGAAATACATGTACAGATGCAATTCCACAGCACAGTCCAAACAGATGTATGGATGCTAGGACTCGAACTGTTGTAGATCACCACATGGCAAGCAGCAGAGGGCAGCGCTACGAATACACCTGTAAGTCACATCTCTTATATATTCAATACAAAAATCTGATATCACTACTGGTCTTTTTTGTTTTGTGCATTTTTTGATAATATGTGTTTTCTTTTCTAATTTGATGAATCAAAGTTCACTAGAAGTAGCCTTTCCACAAACTGAGATAAACAGTAATTTCTAGAAGGTCATTCACACGAACACAAAACACCATCATGGAAAACACACATGGCACTAAAATAATGCAATAAACATAAATTAAACAACACAAGATGTAACATAAAACCTTAATATACATAACTGATACCAACACTGTTAAAAACCACAATTGAACTAAATGCCATTAAATGTGAAGCATAACTGTACATTTCTACAAAGCGCAGTGCTAAAATGATGGCTGAGCTGGTGGGCTGGACATCTACGAGGGGGTCTGCAGTGCTCACCTCCTTCCCAGAGCCAGAGACACACACTGGGCTCAAGGAGGAGGATGGTCTGGGTGAGATGGATATTGGTATGGATGTTACACTTGCAAGCTGAAGGATGAAGACCGTGCAAGTGCATATAGAGAAGATGAAATACATGTACAGATGCAATTCCACAGCACAGTCCAAACAGATGTATGGATGCTAGGACTCGAACTGTTGTAGATCACCACATGGCAAGCAGCAGAGGGCAGCGCTACGAATACACCTGTAAGTCACATCTCTTATATATTCAATACAAAAATCTGATATCACTACTGGTCTTTTTTGTTTTGTGCATTTTTTGATAATATGTGTTTTCTTTTCTAATTTGATGAATCAAAGTTCACTAGAAGTAGCCTTTCCACAAACTGAGATAAACAGTAATTTCTAGAAGGTCATTCACACGAACACAAAACACCATCATGGAAAACACACATGGCACTAAAATAATGCAATAAACATAAATTAAACAACACAAGATGTAACATAAAACCTTAATATACATAACTGATAACAACACTGTTAAAAACCACAATTGAACTAAATGCCATTAAATGTGAAGCATAACTGTACATTTAACTGCATACAGTAACCATTAAACAAGGAGCAAGTCATTATAGTGGCATTTTTACAGAAATTTTAATATGAAGGTAACTTTTTTAGCTTAAAATGCTGTTTGTTTTGTTTATTTCTAATTTTAAATAATAATTTTTAAAAATACATAATTTAAAGGTCACATATTTGACACCTTTCTGGAGTTTTATTTTAAGTCTTGATGTCCTTAAGAATATATATTTGCGGTATAAGTACCAAAAACCATCTCAATATATGGTTAGCCTGTCTAATTAATATTCATGAGCCTCTCTTCTGATTGGCCTGTTGTTTTCTGAGTGACGCACGGCCAGGCCAACCACAGGTAACTAGGGTCAGCCGACGTCACAGCGCTAGCTGGAGGCAGCAAAACAAAGGGGGAACGGGAGGTGGCCCATTCAAACCAGCGCAGATTTGGCTACATAAGGAGCTTAAAATATCATCTTCTTGAGATGTTGGGTGCCAGAATCGACGTAACACTCATCCTTTGAGTGAGAGTGTAACGTTACAGGTCGGCCGATCTGGTTTCGTGGTTAAAGTTAACCTTTTCGACATGTTTCCATGTTGTCGTTGCTCAGCAATGGCATGGACGAGATGTTGTCTGGGGGTTTGGCAAAAGGAGAGTGAGGCGGTGGGCGGTGCTCGGGGTGGTGACTGAAGGCGGTGACTGTGTAGTTCTGACGTCAACTTTTTACGGAAGTCACAACGGTTCGTGAAAAATCACAGCTACTTTATGCAGGCTGTGTGCATTTTACTGTGGACTGAAACGTATATGGTAGTTAAATAGCCCCTAGACTTCAATTATCTGAAAAAAGCCAGGAAATTTCAGTTTTGACAATATGGGACCTTTAATTGTGGTCTCATACTTTTGGACCCTACTGTACCTCAGTTATATCGGGTTTTGTGTTTCATACTGCTGTTTTTTCAGGCTTTGACAATTACATATATGTTTGTACAAAAGAATAAGGAACTTCAATTTGAGGAACACAAATGAGCGTGACTTAGTGAATGCCTGTTTTACTGATTGTTAAGAGACTCGCCCTCCTTTGGTTTGCATTCTTCGTGTTATTATTTAAAGCATTTATTTATTTATTTGTCCAGATGAGAAGATGTCTCCAGTGCTCGTTGGAGTGATTTTGGTTAATGCAATGGTAATGTTGAAATCAGATTTGTTTCTCTATATCTCAATTTTAAATTCTTCAAGTATGATCATAATTTGGTGCCTTGCTTCTTTATGTGTTTAACGAATGAAGATTAAAGGTATGTGTGAACCAACTCAATCATGGTCAGGCAGGGCAGAAAGAGGACGTTTGGGTGAGTAAATGTTCAGTTTATGCCTCTCAGACAATAATGAACCCGGTAAGACTACTGTATTATATTTGATACATACATTTCTAAAGCCTCTAAATGATCAACAGTCAAAATGTTGGTGAAAAACCTGCTGTAGCTGTTATACTGTTTAGCCTTTTTGTAAAAACATCCACCTTCTGGTTGTGGTTCATGTGTCTTTTTGTTGTGAAATCTTCACTGGGTTTTATAATGTAAACGTAACGACTTTTACATTGTTAGAAATATTTCAAGATGAACATTTACTGGAGCAACTTAGGTTTTTCATAATTTTTTTTAGAAAAATCATGCAGACTTTTGGGGAACATTTATTTGTGCATCTTACAAGCATCACTGTATTGCATTGCATTACATGTTTTGCCCCCACAATTAAAACTACAGCGCTTTGATCAAAAAACTATAGGTCTATTAAAGAGTGTACCATTCACACTATCTCAACCTGTTGCAGATGTGCCAGACTCGAACCTTCTGATCCAGAACGATGCAGTGTATCATCTTGTGAACACATCGTTCAGTTTTGAACAAGCCCAGCGTTACTGCCGTGGTCAGTCCAGCGGCCTCACGACCTCAGGGGTCAAAGAGGACGAGGAGGGAGCCCGACAGTTACTCTCTACATCCAACCTGAAGGGCCCGGTTTGGTTTGAAACCAACAAGAAACAGAGCCCGACACCTCATGTGCCCCTTCCCAAACAAAGTAAGTTTAGTTATGATGCTGGTATGATGTTGTAAGTCAATATCTCAAGAAAGTAAGTCAATATCTCTGTAACTTCACAGAAACGATCCTCAGAGGATTGTCTTTCACGTCTAAGGACGGCTATGCCCGTGTGAAGGCGTCTTTCCCGCCACTGTCCGCGGTGAGCGTCTGCGTGCGCTTGCAGTGGGACCCGCGGCACGAGAGCGTGTCCACGGTGTTCTCGTACGCAGCGCCGGTTTTCCTCAATGAATTCCAGCTCCGCGGACAGATTGACGAGCCCAAGCGAAATCAGGACAGAAAGGTCCACCTAGCGCTTCTTATTCAAGGACAGCATCATCACAAAGCCGAGCTGCCCGTTGATGAAGACTGGCACCATGTCTGCGTCACGTGGCGCTCGAGCGATGGATTTTGGGCAATTTATGTGGACGGAAAAAAGGGAGATTCTGGGAAAGGGAACGCTCAGGGAAATGCAAAGGATATCCACGGAGACGGGATATTTATATTGGGTCAAGACCAGGATAGTTTCGGTGTGACTCTCACGGAGCCGTTTTTTGGAAACTTGACCGATCTGAATGTTTGGGGTGAAGCTCTGGAGTTCCAGGATGTGAAGGAACTGAACACCTGCTCGCAGCTGACCAATCACAGAGCCTTATTCAGATGGCAGGACTGGAGCCTCACTGTCCATCAGTCTGTCCTGAACGTGTCTGCAACACTCACCTGTCCAGGTTATAGCATCATTTACCCATCCATCTGTCAAAATATCAGAAGATCCTAGTAGAATCTGTAAACAAATAATAACAACAACAATTATTTTTATTATTATTATAAAATATACTTAAAAAAATGCTAAAACATTTGAGCATATACTTTTTAAATATTTGATATTTTTATCATATTTATAATTTTTATGTTTCATATTTTACTTTAATATTTAAAACATATGCTCCTTTTTGTTAAACATCAGAGGATTCAAGTAGGATCTGTAAACAAATAATAATAAATGGTTATAACACATCGTTTTTTAAATAATATTTTATTGAAATTTTTACTATTGTTGTTATATATATATAATATTTTTAAAAATTATAGTATATGTTATTAATAATAATAATAATAATTGTATTATTATTATTATTATAACATATTCTTTCATTTTTCAATATTTACTATTTTTATATATTTAATATTTTTAAAAGTATATGTTAATAATATTAATAATAATAATAATAATTATTATTATTATTATTTGTTTACAGATATTTGTTTGGATCTTCTGATATAATTACTTCAGTATTTACTTCAATATTTAAAACAAACGTTTTGTTAAATATTTTGCCTAAAAATACAAATGTATCATATTTTCTATTTAATACATTTCTAATTGTTCTTAGGTGTCAATGCAGCTTTAAAATATCTACTTTTATTTCATTTATTATATATTTATTATCATTGAAATTTTTCGTTGTTGTTTCAGCTGAAATGTGAAAATGAATTCATTTTTTCTTCCATCAAAGTTTCTGTTAACTTGTGGTGAAAATGCCTGTTTTTGCAGGGTCCCTGAAGACAACAAAGACACAAGAAAAGGAATGTGACGTTTTTAATGGCTGGTCTGACGGTCAGCCTCAATACAGCACTGCCCCCTGCACACACACGCTCCCCTTCATCTGCAGAATGAGCAAAGGTTTGTATGAGAGAGAGCATGTATGTGGGAGTTACTGTAGCCCAATAAAGTGTGAATGTATTGAAGAGCTGTGAGTGTGTACAGAGTGACCGTGCAGCTCTCTGATCCACAGAACACTATCTGAAGATGAAGGACCTGAGAGAATCTCTGGCGTTCAACCCAAGCTCCTTCATGCAAAGTCTCATGCACTATGGCGTGGTACAGCCGATTTCTAAAAAGTGCTTTCTTAGCATGAATATTTTGCACACAGTTTTACCAAACTATAATTACAAACAACCAAAAACAGTGACTGTAAAGAATTCCAGCAATAAAAGTAAAACAAGTATATTACATATCGATTTTTGTTACCATCTAACATGTATTTTGTCCTGTTTCTCTCAGACTGCAGACGATGTGCTCTCTGATACTGTAGATGGGCAGAGTTGGGCCTCAGTGTCCCGTCTGTTGAACGTGTCTGAGCAGGTTGTTTTAAAGGAGCAGAAGCAGCTGGAGGACAGGGACATGCTCTCTCTCATGCATGTTCTCTCTCGGGCCGCTGACCTGCCTAGCACCGACAACCATAGCCGGCGTGATGCGGAGAGCCTCAGCCAGAGCTTCATCACCATTGCAGATTCACTCATCAGCCAAGACAATGCCAGTAAATGGAACAGCATCAAAGAGGTGACTGAAGTGATCTATTCCTTAACCGTTTTGTGTTGAATAATTACTAATCATTAAAAGTGATTTTTGATGATCTCATGGACTGGCACACTTCTTAAAGTGACAACGTTTTTCTAATATTATTTCTAAAATAATAATAATAATAAATTAAATACATTTTAAAATGTTAAACAGTTCTTTTAAATTGTAACAATATTTCACAGATTTAATGTTCTTACTGTATGATCAAATAAAGGCAGCCTTTGGTGAGCATAAGATACTTCTTTAAAAAAAAACATTGACCACAAACCTTTAAATGATAGTGTAAGTCATTATATGATACTTGATAATTCAGTAATTAATGCACATTCAAAAATGAGTTTTATAAATAAGCAATATCACAAGAGCAGTTCCAGTGAATATTATCACTACAGCACAATTGGTGTGTGATATTGTTTTTATACAACCGCTGAATAAGTTCAGTAAAGAAGTTAATATTATCTTGCATTTTACATACAATGTGATTGGTTATTTCTGGGTTTATGTTTAATTAATTAATTGATTAATTTATTTATTTATTTTTGGGTTGCCATCAGAAATAGTTTCAAAAGAAACCTTTCATTTCTTTACAAATCTGTGCTTTGTAGGTAGGGAAGAGCCCAATGGCAGTCATACAGACTGTAGACCGCATGGTGAGTAACCTTAAGTCTCTGCTGATGGACGACACAGACAGTGTGCAGATACACAGCAACAATATCAGTAAGTTACACAGACATACAGAGGAACAAGACAGACATGCACTGAAATTTAAACCAAAGTCAAAAAACTGTGGTTCTGTGTTGCAGAGCTGCAAGTCCAACAGAAGCTGCTGTCTGAAAGTTCTCACATTTCTGCGTTTTGTGGACTGGATGCGGGAAATCATGACTGCATCTCTGTCCCAGCTGAAAACATGAAGGAACTACAAAACAATGGTAGGGACCAGGAGATTAAGTTTCACAGTGTATACTTTTTCAGTTGTCATTGTGAAACCTGGCTGGTTTTTTTTCTTCCCTTAATTTGTATGTGCTTGTTTAGGCTTCAATAAGGTGACTTTACTGAATACATGGTACAGCTCTGTGAATTGTCTCTCAGAGAGAGGGGAAAACATTACTCTTTCTCCTATAGTCAGTGATGGATCTCATAGGTAAGCCATCATACACAGTATGCAGATTCATTTAATTTATTCATCAGATCAGCTGTGTCTGCGTTACATGAACACAGTCTTAAAAATATAGGTCCATAGTGAGTTTTCGCAGCCATGCCATAGAGCAACCATTTTTTGTTTTCCCAAACGAACCTTTCAGTGAACAGTTCCTAAAAGAATCATTGTTTTCTTTTGCGGAATGGAAAGATTCCATTGATGTTAAAGGTTCTTCATGGAACCATAGATGCCAATAACGAACTGTATTTTTAAGAGTGTGTGGTACTTCAAACTTAAATTGCAGGAGAATCCCTTATTACAGAATTTGCATATGGGTTAGACATAAGAGAATTGCTTGTTATTTCATATTTCACTGTAATTACAACATGAATGTTTTGTCATATTGCTGATGGGAGTGTGTGATTGTATAAATCAGGCATCTGCGAACAGTCTTGGGCTCATCGGTCATCTCTAGTACAGTGCTGGCAGATGGACAGCCGATCAGCATGGCCATAAACTTCAGACTCCAGCACAGGATTCAGGTACAAGAAATAACATGTATCGTTTTTATTGTGATCAAGGAATCAGTATAGGAATCATTTAACCACATTTAAGTTTCATTACAAACCTATATGACTTCCCTTTTTCCATGGAACAGGTGATTTTGCTGAATGTCAAAGCTGCTCTTTTGCATACAGGAACTCAATAGGAACAGGAACAGGAAGAACCACATAAGGGCATGAAGCACACAAGGGAAAACTAGGTCATGGAGAGCACATGAGGAGAAAAACACAAGACAGGAACACAGAGCTGACCATGGGTGTGACTTTACCTCCCCCTCCCGGAAGGCGCACCTTGTAACATCCAACGGGGAGGAGGGGTGGGCGCTCTGGAGGCCTCTACAGACAGGTTTACGTGAGACGGACGGCCTCTAGGGCGGTACCGGATCTGAGACGCATGGCGGACCAAGCAGCTCCAGGTGCCATGGCAGATCAGGCAGTTTGGGGACTCATGGCGGAGCAGGCAGACTAGGGAGCCATGGCGGAGCAGGCAGATTAGGGAGCCGTGGCGGAGCATACAGTTCAGGGGGCCATGGCGGAGCAGACAGTTCAGGGGGCCATGGCAGAGCAGACAGTTCAGGGGGCCATGGCGGACCAGACAGTTCAGAAGGCCATGGCGGAGCAGACAGTTCAGGGGGCCATGGCAGAGCGGCCTCTGTGGCCTTGGCCTCGACACTCGGCCCGGCCCGGCCTCTACGGCCGGAGCCCTATAGCCCCCCCAAAAAAATTCCTGGGGGGAAATTTCAGGTCCTGAGGCCCTCCGTTGGCCTGACTTAGGAGCAGCGGCCCTCCCTGGGCTTGACTCGGGAACTGTGGCCCTCTCTGGACTGGACTGGGGAACAGGAGCCCTCTCTGGGGTGGACTTGGGAAAAGAGTCTTTCTCTGGGCTGGATGTGGGAACTGGAGCCCTCTCTGAGCTGGATGTGGGAACGGGAGCCCTCCCTGGGCTTAACTTGGGAACAGGAGCCCTCTCTGAGCTTAATTTGGGAACAGGAGCCCTCTCTGGGCTTAACTTGGGAACAGGAGCCCTCTCTGGGCTTAACTTGGGAACAGGAGCCCTCTCTGGGCTTAACTTGGGAACTGGAGCCCTCTCGGGGCTGGACGTGGGAGCAGGAGCCCTCTCGGGGCTCTGGTCAGGGGGTGGAGCCGACACTGGAGCAGACTCAGGGGCTGGAGCCGACACTGGAGTAGACTCAGGGACTGGAGCCAACACTGGAGCGGACTCAGGGGCTGGAGCCGACACTGGAGCGGCCGGCGGGCTTGAGAGTGCAGGGGCCGGTGGGCTTGACTGCGGAGCGGCCGGCAGGCTTGAGACAGGAGCGGTCCTGGATCGGAGCCGGACACTCTCCAAACACCGGAGGATCCCTTCCCACGGGGCGATAGTAATTGGCCCCAATCCAGAACAAAGAATTTATTGTGGCGTCATCCAACGCCGTCAAGACGGCGAGCTCGCAGAATTCCCGGGCGAATTCCACAAACGGGAGATCCCTGCTGGCTAGGGCGGAGAATCTCGCGGCGATCTCCATCACCACAGGGAAAAGGGAAAAAGAAAACTTTCAGAAACGGAAACAAAAACGAGGAGAAGGGGTGCCGCTTACTGTTTGTTTTGGTCCTTTGTTCTGTCACAACTGCTACTGTGTTGGAGCGAGGAACGAGGAGCACGTAGGAGAATCACCATAAATACAGTCTTTATTTATCGAAACCACAAGGAACACACACGTAGCACCTGGAATGACATTTAACAAAGGACGTTAGACACAGGAAACACTGGGCTTAAGTAAATGTAACTGAACGAGGGAATTAACAAGACACAGCTGAAACAAATGGAACTCAATAGGAACAGGAACAGGAAGAACCACATAAGGGCATGAAACACACAAGGGAAAACTAGGTCATGGAGAGCACATGAGAAAAACACAAAACAGGAACACAGAGCTGACCATGGGTGTGACTTTACCTCCCCCTCCCGGAAGGCGCGCCTTGTAACATCCAACGGGGAGGAGGGGTGGGCGCTCTGGAGGCCTCTACGGACATCACATCATGATTAGAAATCATTCAAATATGCTAATAATCTGCTCAAGAAAAATTTTCTAATTATCAATTTTGATTAATCTTTTGTAACATCATAAATGTTTTTGCTGTCACTTTTGAGCAATTTAATGTATCCTTGCTGAAGAAAATTTTAAAAGTGAAGTGACATGGCCAAGTATTGGTGACCCATACTAGGAATTATTGCTCTGCATTTATCCCATCCAAAGTCCACACACACAGCAGTGGGCAGCCATTTTTTTTTATGCTGCAGGTGCCCTGGGAGCAGTTGGGGGTTCAGTGCCTTGCTCAAGGGCACCTCAGTTGTGGTATTGAAGGTGGGAGAGAGTGCTGTACATCCCTCACCTACGATCCCTGCTGGTACGAGACTTGAACCGGCAATCTTTGGGTTACGAGTCTGACTCGCTAACCATTAACCATAACGCTCCCCAAAATTTCTGAACAGTAGTATTTGTGAAGATTTCAATAGGATTTGTCATTTGAGGAGAACTGTTTAAAATGAGGATTGATCAGGATTGAATCTAGTGTGTTGTTGGATAGTCATGCCTGACTTCAGCTACAATGCTTCTTTTTTTTCACTCTTTAGAACAGTTCACAGAATTTGACACCTATCTGTTCTTTTTGGGATTTTGACCTAATGTAAGTAATTTTCATGTACTTACATTTATTGTATTTTGTAAATTCTCAAATGTTCTCATTTATGTTTTGTATAACTGATGAAATCTTGTTCTTTTGTCTTGACACCTCAGGCCAGATCGGGGAGGGTGGTCAACAAAGGGTTGCACCTTTATTTCCTCTCTGAATAACTCAACTTCCTGTTCCTGTAACCACACTACCAATTTTGCCTTGCTGTTACAGATCTCCGAAGTTCAGGTAAGGTATTAAGCAGTACCTGTAATAGATGAAAAAATCATGGTATAAAGACTGGATACTGTACATGAATTTGACCAATAATTATTAATTTATGAAAAACAGGTTTGTGTAGTTGCAGAAAGTTATTTTAGTATTATATGTATTTAGTAATATAGTATTTGTTAATATTTTGGATTACCTTTTATTTTTTTATTTTTGAATTAGCTTATTATTTTTTTTTATTTCAGTTTCAGTTCACATTTGCCTAAATATATTACTAAAATATTTTTTTTTGTTAAAATATAGCGACCCTGGTTGCAGATAAACATAAAGAAGCAGAGTCTGACCACTACAGAAAAGAAAGAGTTCAATTAAAAGAGCCAGAAAAGTGTGTATGTCGTTTGAATATATAGTTAAATATAATTGAACCAATATACATTTAGGCCGAATAAAAAAATCTACAGAAGGCATATTTATGTCATATTTAATGAGTGTGTAATATTTTGTGGGTAATCCATATTAAAAAACACTTACAGCACTATACTTTTTTGTAAATCAGTAGTACATCAAAATTCAAATCCGGTTTGAATTTTCTTTGTGTGTGTTTTAGAGAAATGAAGATGAGACAGGCCTGCAGATCTTCAGTTTGATTGGCTGTGGTGTGTCTCTGTGTAGTCTCATCTTCACATTTATTCTCTTTGTGGCTGTTGGGTGAGAAAACAAAGCAAAACATTCAACTGTATAGTGTGGCTCATAGCAGAGTCTTACCTGGCATTGCATTATGTGTTGCTCTCTGTCTCCCTCTAGCGTTCCAAAGTCAGATCGGACTACAGTTCACAAAAACCTGATAGTGGCGCTGGCTGTAGCTCAGTTACTTCTTATTTTCAGCGACTGGGCTTCGGGAAACCAGGTGTGACTTCTATATCTGTCAACATACAGTGTATGTGTTGATAAAAAGTAGGGAAACAACTGTGAAATTACCACATAGTAGTGATTTCTTCAGAGGTAAATTACACACAACCATTCAAAAGTGACTTTATATAAAAAAAAATAATTAAATACATTTGTGACGTGAGGCCAAGTATTGTGCACACACACAGCAGTGAACACACACACCGTGTACACACACCCAGAGCAGTGGGCAGCCATTTATGCTGTGGCACCTGGGGAGCAGTTGGGGTTTTGGTGCCTTGCACCTCAGTCGTGGTATTGAAGGTGGAAGAGAGCGCTGTACATTCACTCCCCCCACCTACAATCCCTGCCAGTATGAGACTCAAACCCACAACCTTTGGGTTACGAGTTCAACTCTCTAACCATTAGGCCACAACTTCCCCAAAGAGTAACATGTAAAAGTGTTACAAACTTTGTTTCATGTTTTCCACAAAAAAATATTAAGCAGCACAGCTGTTCTCAACATTGGTAATAATCAGAAATGTCTCTTGAGCAGCAAATCAGCATATTAGAATGATTTCTGAAGGATCATGTGACACTGACTGGAGTAAAGCTTTTCATCACAGAAATAAATTACATTTTAAAATATATTGAAACAAAAAAAAATGGTATTTTTAATTGTAATCATATTTCACATTATTACTGTATGTTTTGATCAAATAAATGCAGCCTTGGTGGGCATAAAATACTTTTTTCGTTAAAAAAAAAAAATTATAATAATCCTACCGACCCCAAACTTGTTCCTATTTATATTTCTATGTAACAGTCTAATAATATATTTTGATTAATAAAAAGAGAAAACCAATTTAAATGCTATTTTTGCATTCAAGTAAACATTTCTGATGTAGATGTAGTGATATCAGATATGGACATGTTTTGAATATTGAATATTTGAATTTGAATAAAGTATGTGTATGTTGATGTGGAGCAGGAAGTCTGTTGGTTGGTGACGGTGCTCCTGCATCTGTTTTTCCTGTCATCTTTCTGCTGGATGCTGGTGGAGGGCTTGATGCTCTGGAGTAAAGTGGTCTCTGTTAACATCAGCGAGGAGAGGAGAATGAAGCTGTACTATGTGCTGGGCTGGGGTGAGAACCGTCTGTATGTGTAAATCATTATGACTCATATTCTGTTTGATTAACCTTCCTCTCATGCATTGTGTCTGTATTTGCTTTGTCTTTCTTAGGGCTGCCGGTTGTTATAGTCGCTGTAACCTTGGCATCCACTTTGGATCGGTATAAAGCACAGCAGCACTGCTGGCTGAACCTTCAGTCGCATGTTATTTGGGCTTTTGCAGGGCCTGTGCTCTTTGTTTTGGCTGTAAGTATATCACAAGTGTGCAGCTCCTTGAGTAAGTGTGTCAGAATAATTGTCACAATGGAGCTCTTATTTGCTTTTGAGTGTATATGCAGTACAGCTCCGATGGTTTTAAAGTCAGCATGAAATCTATTTCCTAAATGCATTTTATAGATCCTTTTGTAAACAATTCATCTGTGCATGTTTGCTTTTTGTTTAGTTTTAACCGTATAATGTTTAATCAAAATGTCATTACAAAATGTCTTCACATGAAACAACAGTCTTTTTTTCTGGTGACATGCTGGACTTCTCCAATCATTTAGTTCATTTAAACCCGTCTGTTTCTTACAATTAACTGTAAGCTGTCATTCAGGTCTCCCTCCATTCAATCAACAACAGCTGGATAGGCCCACCCTATTTTCTTTTTTCGATAATCCAATAAGTATGTCTCAGTGTGGAAGAAAAGATCTGCGACTTTAAATCAGGCTGGACTGCAAAGGACACTTTATGCAAAAATGTCAGCTAAATGCATAATGTACGAATGCAATGTGTGCATTAAATGGCAAAGATCTCATTTGTAAAAATGTAATTAAAATTAAAATTAAAGGTTGTTTGCACATTAAACCAGTTTAAGGGATCATGTCATCATGAAGCATATTTTCCATATTCTTTTAAATCTTGAACTTGATCTATTTACTTTTAAACAAATTTCTGTAAACTCCCAAAAAGATGATTTATTGAAACTTTGTTGCAGTAACATCTCATTCTGAACTATCTAGTAATCCTATAGTGATTTGTGATACTGTCCCGTGCAATATAGTGTTGTAGTATTGTAGGCCATGTATTTTTGTAGGCCAAAGCCAGAAGTTTGCATCACCCTGCTTCCCCTGACAAAAGCCCAGTAGGATTTTTCCATTGGCTTTTGGATTGTTGCAGAAAAGAACCTGTGTTTTGTACATCATGTTAATTTTAAATGAACACAACATTAATGAATTTTGAAGCCTAAATACAAATAGCAGGAGTACAAAGCTAAACATGTGCTATAAATGGTCACATGACTTCAACATTACCACCATTAAGTTTCTGACAACTCAGTTTTTATTTAAAAAAACATTTTCCCTAAAAGTTTGAGTTATAATAGCTTGCAAGCCTGCAGTTATACACACAATGAGGCTGTAAAAGCAACCAGTGAGTAAATGAGTTTACCTGTTTTACATGATTTGTAATGTCTCGACAACCTCTGTAGTCCCATTTAGCCACTTGTTGGCAACCGCCTTTTTCCAAGACAAATAAAAGCTTTAAAAAAAAATCACAAAGCGAGGCATTACTGATGCATTTTATGTCATAGAATAAAACGTGAAATTATCTTGAGCCTGTGTTCACCACAGACAATATTTCAGGCATTTAAACAAAAAACTAAATTAATTTGAGGCGATGGAACTGGAAATGATAACATGCAACTTTCAGCAAATCACCAGCAAATTTCCAGGTTTTGGCCTACAAAAATATGTCACCCCTGCTGTGAACGTGAAGAGGGGTGTTTCTCAAAGGCACAAAAATCTAGCGTAGCGTTAGTTCTGGCAGGTCACGTTAGTCAAGCTCGCATCAGCTGACTCTCAGCTGATCCCCATCTACCTATGAGAATACGACACCTATCTAAGCATTCATATATAAGGTCCCTCAGTATTATCAGCAGTTTTCGCATTGCTCAATAGCTAATTACCCTCCTCCATCCCCAGCTCCCCCTCTGACAGTCAGGATTCAACTTTCTGATTCTCCTTGAATCAGACTAATTCTAAAATGTGTACATAACATTATTGAACTTTAACAATATCTGCAATACATTTATGTTGGTTCTGTTCTGTTTACCCTGGGGGGTTATCGCTGCTCTCCCTGCTCTCATCCATGCTAGGCTGCATGGATGCGCAGGAAGTTCTTGCCCAGAACAGAACCATACCGCCAATCCAAACTGTATGCTAATTGTCAATCATCTTCGACGATAGCGGTCCTGACAGAACTCCACTAATATTATAAGTTTACCTGCTGAAAAATACTGAAAATGTATTATAAGACCCTTTAAAAGTTGAAATATGGTCTTCCTTGTAGCAGTGTCTGATGGGAGATATGGTTCTCTGTTCTTAGGTCAATGGTGTGGTGCTTTTTCGGGTTGTTATGGTTACAGTGGCCAGTGCACGTCGCAGAGCCAAAAGGCTGACACCTAGTTCTGATTCGAAACTTCACACGCTAGATCTTACCTGGTGAGTTCTTTTCACTACTCAACTGCCTTTGAAATAAATACAGGCCAGAGTTAATATACAAAAGCAGTATCAGCCAGTCATTACTCGTTATTGTAGACAGTTCTAGTTTTTCTCTTATCTTGTTGAACAGAGGAAGCACCTGTCCGCCAGTAACTCATTTGTTCCTATCAGCCACCTGGACTTGAGAAGATATGATACAAATAGCCACAGCTACTCCTCTGTTTGTCCTGTTATATGGATATTTCATATAAAGAAAGAGCAGAAATGAATCAGAAGTGTCTGTATAATTAGCAGAGAACTGGAGTGTCCTTGAAGCAGAGTTTCTGTCATACTGATGTAAAACTGAGCAGCCTAGCCAGTGCAGTAATATGAAGGTTTAATAGTGTGTTTGTGTGCACATGCAGGGCAGCGACGCGGCCAGTATTGATCTTGTTACCAGTTTTAGGTCTGACCTGGCTGTGTGGAGTGCTGGTACACTTGTCTGTCGTCGTGGCCTATGTGTTCATCACACTCAGTGCTTTTCAGGTAACACTCAGCACTTCTACTATGGCTGGGCGATTATTCACATTTTATTTTCGGTTACGATTTTGGCTTCCAGTGGTTATGATAACAAAAAAATTAAGATGAATTGATTATTCTGCTGCATTCAGTTTCTCAATGCTGTTGTTTTGTCTTGTATTACAAACTCTGCAAACACTGGAGTGTTGTAAATATTTTAGTTACTTGCGATAATATAAATATGAATTATAATTTCTTGTTAAATTTGCGTTCGTTTTTTTTTTCAGTTGAATAATATTTCAAGTTCAAGGAAATACACTGTTGAAAATAAGGTTACAGTTCAATAAATGCATGATGTCTATTGACAAAGTATTGACAAAAATAATTATGTTTATCGTTTTTGTCAAAATCGGCCAGCTCTTACTCAACCATGCATGTTTTGCCTTCCTCTTAATCCGACTCCAGTCTATCAACATGGTTGAAATGAACTTCCTCTCTCGGTTTTCAGCTTCATGTAGCTCTCTTTTACTGTCTCTTTCTTCCTCCCATGTCTATAAATTCCCTCCCAGACCTTGTTAATGTAGATTTACTGTGTGCATCTGGGAAAAAGATAAAAGAAGCAGAAGACAGATAGAGAAAATGAGGGAGACACACAGAGAGGAGGAGACACATGAGCAGAGTCCATCACTGCAAGGAAACTCTTCAGTGCAGATCTATCTTGAATGTTTTATAGTAGAGGTCTGGGAGAGCAGCAAGCGTAAAGATGCAGGAAGTATATGGAACATTCCTGTTAGCTGTAATATATGGCTGATTCTGTGCTAACAAGATCTAAGAATAAACCTTTTATGATTTGAGCTAAACCTCCAAAAACAAGGTTTCTCCTGGTTATTTTTTACTGTTTTAATGATACTGTTTATTACACCCCAGACACTGAATCTTCAGACATCTGAGTAAACTATATTTTAAGTATAATGTTTTGGCCTAGAAAACTAAAATTTATTTAATGTTTATTATATTATTATTTTTATTGAAATTATTTCAAACTGTTTATTTTCTGTTGCTTAATCTCTAAACACAATAATTGATTGAAACAAACCCATATATTATAACACAAAATCGAAAAGAAAAATTAGAAATTATTTTCCATATAGCACTGTGAATTTTCATTATATTTTGCATTAAAAATTGCATTGTGACATTATTTTCATTACAATGCAACATATTTCCACTTTCCCAAATTCTTGTTACTGTAATGCAAAAAATTTAATTAATAATAAAAAAAAAATTAAATGTTGTTTTAATTAAATCCCAAGTGGATCATCCCGGAAGATGATTTATGGCCCAAATATAGGCTTCATTTTCTTTATGAAGAATATAATTTTTATTTTAGAGAATTATATTTGGAGATGAAATATGACTCGTAAATTGCTGAGATTGACACAATATTTTGCATTTTATTTTTATTCATGTATTATTGCTTTGACATGTTTGCAAAACGAACAGTAGAATGACCCATATACACCATTATAAATGATCATATAAACATCTTTTAGTGACTATAAAGTTTAAAAGTTACTTTGCTCAGTGTTGTTAACATTCTACTCACTAGCATGAGTGAGCGTCCATGTTATTTCATTAAATGTCTCCTCTCATTCTAGGGCCTGTATATTTTTCTGGTGTATGCGGTTTACAACAGTGAGGTATGACTCACTGATAACATCAGCTATCAGTTTATATTTTTCTTATATTTCTAATCTTATATTTCGAAGAAGTTGAGTGATTTCCTTTCTAAATTGCAACATAATACTGTTTCTGGATGTTTTATGCGTGTAATGTAGGTGCGAAATGCAATAAGAAGAATCCAGGACAAGCGAAAAGCTTTGTCATTTACTGTAAGACCTTATTTTTGTTCATTTAAATAGTTGAACAGTTTAAATCTGTTTCTCTGTTATTGTACTCACTTTTGATGTAATTTCCTCTTGCAGAACTGTTCACAGCCTATCAGCTTCTTGCCCTCCCAAAAATCTCCCAGTGCTTCATGGGTACACAGCCTGCCGACTCATTCCAGCCCAGAGAGCAGCGAGAGCTCGACTCCCATCACCACTTCCACAGCCAACTCGCTCGTCTTTAAGAACGGTGCGTGAAACTCATCCGTATCGACCATCTGCAGCTAAATTGGTGTTACTTTTAGTCAACATGAAACTTAAAACAGATTTGCTTGCATGTAACATCTCTGTCCTTTCCTCTTTATATGTTAGAACGGTTTAAAGAGGACCATATTGTGAGTTTCCCATTAAAACCAGCTAACATAAGTCAGGTAAGCTGCAAACCACACATATTTTTCACTGATATTTTTCACATCATCAGATAGTAATTAGGCTTGTCACTACAACCAATTGTTATAAATCCAACGTTACCTGGACACATACAGTACACTCATGTTAAGCAATGTATTATATAGCAAATTTCAAATGCTTTATTGTTACTGTATATCAATAAAAATGTAAACTATATTATCGTTACTACAACTATAATGTAGTACTATAACTATATTATCCAGCGATATATTAAAAGTTGCATATATATATATATATATATATATATATATAGTACATCCTACATATTGTATACTCACATAAAGAAATATTCTAATAACAACATGCTGCTGTGAGCATGTAAGAAATATTGCTGCTGCAAATATAACATACATAAAATAACCCGCATATAGCATTCATGAATCATCTCGTAGCAGATCAATACAGGTGGAGCTGGGGAAGGTGAAGGGTTTCTGAAGCAAGCTGCAGCTGCTACGGCAAGCACTAGTCGTATATTTGAATGTTGAGCAGCGAGCTCATTGGCTACCGATACAGGAGAGAACCAATCAGCTGCCATGTGATAATGATGTCATTAGATCATTGAGTTAGACCTATCGGACTGCGCCATCTAGAGTTTCATGCGAGAACTCTGTGTGTGTGTGTGTGTGTGTGTGTATATATAAATATAAATATATATATATTATATCCAACTTTATCCGCATACCTACTGTGCACTCAAGTAAAGTGATATTTACTATAGTAAATCTCAATTCTCGTCCAAAAATGTAACTGTATTATCGTGCAGCTCTTTATATAATGTTGCATTATTGCATATATAAGCATATGCAACTTTCTCTGCAAACATACAGTAGGGTGATATTCACTAAACAAATAATCTCAATTGCTTACTTGCTTATATAGTTGCAAAATGTAAACTGCTTTGAAACAGTGTGTATTGTGAAAAGTTCAATACAAATCAAATTGACTTGATATTACAGCATTATCTTTTGTTTCAGGTGGTTCAGCTGACAGCCTCTAAGCCCTCAGGTAAAGAACTGTTTCATATGAACTTGTTGCAAGATAAAGTGTGTCCACACCAAAGCACTAGTTCTTCACTAGCAGGATAAGCGAAAAGCTTTGTCACTTCTCAACAAATATGTGATAAATAAAAAGAAATTAATATTAGAATAGACAACAGTTGAATCTAAAACCAATGCTGTTGGCCGAACAGTTTAAATCCATTGAGAACTGAGCTTAAAAATGGTCCAAATAGCATGACGGAATAAAGCTTTGATATGTTTAAATTATGCCATCAAAATACTGCTATGGTAAGTACTGCTATTTCTTTCTTTTTTTTGCTTCACCACAGGCTGTTGAGGGGAAAACTACACTACAGTTCTGCATGGACTCGTGTCTTATCCTGGGATGAAGACGTAGCTCTTTCTGTGGAGGAGCACACACTGCCTCCTCCGCAATCCTGCAGGCCGTCTCGTTCCCAGAGCTCAGTCTGTGCTGAGTGAGTAAATGTTTTTTGATTAACATGAAACAACTCTTTCAGTAAACGCTCAATGAGACTGTGCTCAGCATGGCACATAAAGACTTCTCAATCATTTTATAATGTATAGATGTCGTCAGAGTACAAAGGCTCGTAGTACTAAAAAAGGACAACAAAGAGCATCACACCATTTATCGTGGCCAGACTTGTTAGTGATTTTTGAATTCGGTTGGAAACGAGCAGCCAATCCGTGGAGATTTACATTCAATATTTTGAAGAATCAGAAAACTGTGGACATTGAAACCTGCCAGCTGTTTGATCTTTCTGAAGAGACTGTTCAAAGTATCAATATATAATTTCAATAACACATAATTTAATTTTTTATAAAAAACAAGTCTTTAGTGCTCAAATAGCAAGTATGTGAAGATTACCTTATCATAACAGCATTTATATTTAATGGTTTGTTTTTGGTTTATTCATGCTGTAAGTCTACTACCCAATTGAAATGACGTAAAAATGTAAATAATTAATAGGCATTACCTATTTTTATACAATGCATATAAAATGCCGTATTACTTTTTTTCACTATTAAAACTAATTTGTTTGTTTTGATGTGGAAAGTGTGTATCTCTGTAATCATTTATGAATATAGATTTTTTTTTTAAATGATACACAGGACATTTTATTTGATTAGAATAAAAATGAATAGAAGAATAATTGGTTCAAATGGATTTTAAAAGAAGCACTCTCTCTTTATGCGCTTACAAAGGTGGCAACATGTGTGAATGTTTTCTGACCTTCCCATAACCTCTTTTTATTGGCACACTGAAGAGACACTCAGAGTGGAGCAGCATGTCTGTCTTTAGAAACATGCCCATTCAAAGTAAGATTGCTTTTAGACTGCCACACACACCGTCCTCATACAACTGCGACGTGTTGTTTATTTTATTTTATTGCGACCAATTTTTTTCACTTAAATGGAAAGACAAATAAATGTGTAATCTATGTTTAAAAAAGTGCTTTAAATAGTTTAATTGATACTGTTAATTATATAATTTCAATAAATACCTTTTTTTTCATTTGATTCATTGTTGGACAAGCCCTTTTGGAATGTTTTTTTAAATACCTACTAAATAAATGTATTTGAAAACAAAGAAATTACAATACTCATCATCCATTCAAAGCACAGGAGCATTAAGATAAAATAACAGATACATAAATAAGCGTTCAAATGAAACATCGTTCTTAAGGCTTGTTCACACCGGGACGAATATCGCACGATTATCGCCAATCGTTAAATGCCTCGTGACTAAAAACAGGCCGCCAATGTGAGTGTGCACACCGACACGTAAAAGCGTCATTTTTTTTATTAAACGCCTCAGGCTCGTTTTTTTGGTTTGACGCGCCGTGTTAAAAACTGGCTGGCCAATGAGATTGGCGCTTTTGTTCACGTGCCTGGAGCTGCTGAAGTTACAGTAAAACAAGACTTGGTGGCGCTCAAGCACAAAACGGTCTTGCCAAGCACCCATTGATACCTAACGACGAAGAGGAAGTAAGTAGACCAAGAAGATGCATCGAGGCAAGATGAATGTAGAGCTGCTGGTCTCATTGGTGTCTGAACACAAAGGGCTAAATGACAAACGCGACAGCGACTACAAAAATCTCGATAAGAGGGAGTTGTCATGGAGCGGAATTGCAGATCAGATAGGATTCGATGTGTACCGGGGTATTTCTGTTTTTCATTAAGCGCCATCTAATCTCAGGGAGTGAATTTGCACGTTCACTCGGCTCATCGCCAGCAAAAATCGCTTGGGTATGAACACAAAAGACGCATCGAAAAACGTCGGCGATAAGCGTGCACGATAATCGTCCCGGTGTGTATGAGGCTTTAGACTACAGAGATCACGCTTTGCAATTACCTTTATAGCCTAGAGCAGGGTTCCTCAAATCTTGCCCTGGAGGGCCAATGCGCTGCAGAGTTTAGCTCCAACCCTGATCAAACTCACCTACCTGTGATTTTCTAATGATCCTGAAGACACTGATTAGCTTGCTCAGGTGTGTTTGATTAGGGTTAGAGCTAAACTCAGCAGTAAAGTGGATCTCTTGGGCCAGATTTGAGGATCCCTGGCCTAGAGAATAACAGCACGAAGAAAAAAACATCTCCACGTCCACCAATGATTGTCATGCTTAAATGATTTTAAAAGAATACAAATGAGAAAATTCTGTACATTCATCACATAAGGTAAGAAAGAATTGCCTGAAATCTGTTCACCATTCATTTTGCGCATGTGGCTGAAACTCAAAGCAGTGTCCCTTTCACACGGCGGTAGACCTCTTGGCGTGAAGCATTTCTATGAGCAGATTGTTGCACGGCACTTCTCCGCACAGGTGCTTGTAGCACAGGAAGTCCTCGGCCTGCGCGCTGAGCGATCGGACCTCAGGCAGCCGCAGTATGAGCTGACTGAAGCGGTCCAGACACTGAGGGTAAGAGTAGAGCGTGTACTCGAGCAGAGCGCTGTTCACCTGCTCCTGAACGCTCTCCACAAACTGCTGGTTCTCCAGGAGCTTCACATCTGCAGACAAGAGACAAATCATTACAGGCTACATTCCCATCTATTGCTTTTTCTTTAGTTTGGATGTTCACTTTATTGTTTTAAATGTGACGAGTATCAGATTCGAGTGTGAACTGATCACGGTCTAGAACTGACACTTGTGCTCAAAAGAACAATAACAAGATGGCGCGCAGGAAGCTGTCATATGGATGTAAACATGGAGGACACTGAAACGTCTTCGTTTACTATCATAACCTCAGTTCCCTGAGAGCGGGAATGAGACATTGCGAAGCATTCAGAGAAGGGGAGGAGTTCCCACTGCGAATGCTTCGCAAATGTAGAGTAAACGCTCGAAAGGGAATCAGCGTTGAACACTGATGTTCTGCGGAAGCATGCAAAGGAGGATGACAAGTATGAGAAAAAGGAAATAAGAAATGAAACTTTTCAAAGCTTTGAATCAATTCAATATTATTGTTTCAAAGCACTCTAAACACCTCACACTGGTGACGCCTGCTGGTCAAAACTGTGTGAATGCATTAAAAACTCAGGCCAAACATGCATAAAAACAGCTTTACAACCCATTGTAAATGTTTTATTGAAAGTATAATCTAACAGATGTCGTAACTAAGCATCTAATACCATTAAATTTGAAGTGTCCTCATTCATTTTCTTTGCTTTTTTGTTTGATCTATGGAGGGCTTGGCTAAACAGGTCAATATAAGACTATTAACTACTACTCTTCCTTTTAATTGACCCTACGCAAAGACCTGCCCCCCTTAGTTGCTATGTTGACAAGCCATGGCTCTCTCACGCCACACACGGCACAAATTTGTCATTAAAAATGCCTACATGTTTATAAAACAGGTAAAAACCATAGACACTGGTCACCCCCCCCACCCCAGCGACGAACGGAACAGTGGTGACGTAACGGAGCCTCGTTTAATGAAATCAAGTGAATTTGGTTTCATACGTTTGATACGCTCTCCGAACCTCTGGTTGCATACAAATGATTCGCAAACTATTCAAAGCTTTCTAAGCAGTGTTTTGAAACACTACTGTTGACAAAAGTAAATTCTTTGGAGTGACTCCCGTCAGCGCAGAATTGTGACTAATGTTGATCTAAAGTGGTGTAAAAGTTGCATGAAATCCGATATGACCATTCAGAATGAGCTTGCATTGCAAAACTTCTGACTTGTATCTGATTTAGCATCACATATGGAAGTGGCCCAAATCAGAATCTAAAAAAAAAAACAGATTTCATGTGGGTTGTGTTATTATGAAAAAAACTAAACAGAGTCATATATGAGAGAAAATAATCGAATTTGGGCAGTCTGAACATAGCCATATAGTCTCAGTAGATTTAGCATCACATATGGAAGTGGCCCAAATCAGAATCTAAAAAAAAAAACAGATTTCATGTGGGTTGTGTTATTATGAAAAAAACAAAACAGAGTCATATATGAGAGAAAATAATCGAATTTGGGCAGTCTGAACATAGCCATATAGTCCCAGTAGAGGTGTGTGTTTTTGTGTGTGTGTGTGTGTGTGTGTGTGTGTGCGCGCGTTTTGTGACAAATGAGGACATCAATTTGTATAATGACAAGGGTATGATCCCCTTTATTATGGACTAAGAATAAGAGTATTTATTATTTTATAATATTATAATATTTTTATTTTATTATATTTATTATATCATTTTATTTTATTTATAGTTTTATTCTATTTTTATTTTATTCATTTCTACATGATGACATTTTGGAGCATAACTAAAAAAAAAATATATATATATATATATATATATATAATGTATAAAAATGCTCATGAGGTTATAAGAGTTCATTAATTTATGACTTTTCCATTAAAATAGGAAATGTCTTGACTTTTCGTTGCTTCAGTTTGTTTTAATGCTTGTTTATATTTTAAATAATCTTAAACATCATGAAGTTTGCTGAGGCCCACCAGTTGAGAACCACTGCTTTAAAGTCTATGACTATACAAAATTCATCATTAAAACATAAACCTACTTTATATTCAGTGGAATAAAACGTCTAACAACTAAAATAAAATATGCATTCAAATATGCAATCACACCTGTTGTTGGCTACATATCTCCCACAACCCTTTGTGTTTTGCATAATTTTTCTTCAATTACATTCTGTCACTCTGCAGACTGTCATTGTGTCTCTGTATGTACTTAAAAGTATGTAGTGCAGTGTGTGAATAGGATGCAGTCGTACTCACTGGGGTTGAAGAGGAAGAGGAACTTCAGACAGGCCATCTCTCTTCTGTCCACCTGCAGCAGCTGCAGTCTCCTGGCCAGCTCCTGTCCTCTCTGCACCATACTAGCCAGAGGAGGTCCCGCGTCAGACACGGCCGACAGATCCACCTACAGCACACAGCACCTTCACTACACTCATGTTCTGCTTTTCTACAAACAATGAAGCTTTTACGTAGTGATATTATTGTGCTATATTGATGACGGCTGGAAATACTCACCTCCTGTCCTGTAATGAGTAGCAGACTGTTGTCTCTCCCATGATGCACCTGTCTGCAGATATGATCGAGAAGCAGCAGCTCACTCCAGCAGTTATGCAGCAGTCGCATCTGATCTCC